TGGGCAAGGCAAGGTGCCGCCTTTTGAAGATAGCAGATCGCCCCTGGAATACAAATGATAAAAATATTGTGAGGAAGCAGCAGGTTCTTTAAATGTCACAAAGGTCTTGTTTAAAACAAAAAGATAAATATTAAATCTGTTTATTTATGTAGAAAAATAACTTTTTCTAATATATTAATAAAGAAAGTCCCAGCTAGAATATTTGATAAGGATCTTTGGTCATTTCATTATTACTATTATTTTATTTCAAGCTCTTGCTTACTATTACAAGAGAGAGAGCTGAGCTGTATTTAATTATAGTGGACCTGACCATTTTCTCAGGTCACATTAGGAAGGAGGATATAAGACACAAGCACAGTCTCCAGTGGTCACCATCACAAAGCTGCTTGCTGAAGGGTAAAAGCCTTAGAAAGGCGTCAGTGACTCCCATTTATATGCTGTCTGTATGAAATGGTATTAGACATGCAATTTTAAAAAACAAGTTGGTAAAAATCCCAAGATACTGATCAATACATTTAAAAAAAAAACAGATTAAATACTTTATATGGCATTTGCTGTGCAGGGTTAAATTAAACTGTAATATGCCAGTTTTATTTAACGCTGCACAGCAGTGCTTTTAACATTAGACAATATGATGAGCAAAATGCACTCAGCAACACATTATTCTGACTAAAGAGAAGATGTATTAAGACTGCAATTACCACAGTGGCACTTGAAATCCACATTTAAAGCGTAAAGTAGATTTAACATCATGCATTTAGGAGTGCTCTGTACCTCATTCATCCCTTTTATCACAATGATGTGCCAAATTCCTCTTCAGGGGGAAACTGGAAATGATGCTGAAGCATGTGGGCGCTGTGCAGAGCAAAGAAAAGTAAGCATCAAGTGAAACAGTGGCACAAGAATACAGACGAAACATCGGTATGTCCCTAGTGATACAACAAGAGTGTCTGTGTTTAGAGGAGGAATGTATGGAAAACTTTTAAAAAGGAGCAATGCCAACATCAGTACGAGTCTTGACTCCCATTGGTCGGTTGAGCGTGTTTTCTCTAGAAGGCAGAATCACACCACCTTCCTGTTTAACACGGGACATTGAGTAAATGAATGCTCTGAATGTTTTCCTATTACAGATGCGTATATTATAGTATCTCTACGCAAAACACATGCACACACACAGTACAACTGCAGCATACTCTCACACTTTGTGCAGCATGGACTTAAAAAAAAAACAGGTCTTTATGAATTTGCTCAAGACAGCCAACCAATCTAAGCCAAACTCTGCTGTAAAAGAAGCAATACAAACAAGAAACCTGGGGTCCCACTGAAGCAGGAGAAATGACTCACAGCCCCTTTTGACACACTGGATTATCATGCCTTTACACCTCAGTGGGCATTTGATGGTAAAAAGACAGGCATAACAAAAGGCTGCCCCTAATTATTAGAAGACTGAAACACGAAGAGCAAAGACTGCTTTACTAAGGGTTTAGTGATAGGATGGGATCATAAAACATCAAGTTGATCCAAGGCTCATATCATCCATTAATGGGGTCGAGAAGTAGAAATTCACTTTTAAAAGTTTCTCAGTGTGAGTGACACTGAGGGTCCCCTCAGGGATGTGGGATTTCCTGCTTTGCCAGAGCTAACGTGACATTATCCAGAGCCACAGAGCGTGACGACTGTGCCAAACGAGCGCAGGAAAGAAGAGCAAGCAAAAGAACAAGATTAGAATTATGATTTTGAGTAAGTCGTTAGTTGAAATACATTTTAAGAGTTCGAAAGATAATAGCGTAAAAAATACAAACATCTCTTTTATATTTATTCATAAGTGAGAAAATAAAAGAACACGGGAAAATATTTTTATATTTTTAAAAGCACAAAAACGACGTTAAAAATAAATTATGATGAAAACTAATAAGAAGAATAATGAACATACAAATTCATATCACTTTTTCTATACTAAGGTATTATTATAAAAAAAGTTTGTGCGCAACTCTCATTAATTATTCAGCTAACACAGATACAGTAAAATATATATATTTTTTAATTTCTTTAGCAGAAGAAGCCGTTAAAGAGTATGGCATACTCCTTACCTTCCTCTAACCAGTAAATCCAGTTTTCATTTTCTTAGAAATGTTTACAGCCTGCTCCGTAACTTTATCCCATAGAACGTTTGGACGTGTTTTCTCTGATCTACTGTGCGCTCCTTGAATGCATCTTCTGCTTTAATGCAACTCCAGGCATCCAGATGAAAGTGAATTACCTAAAACAGTTGCCCTAAAGTCTCACAGAACAACGGCCGCTTTCACAAACTTTGGGTGGGACAAAGTGACCATATCCTTGCCTCAAAGCAGGAGCCAACACGGAAGTTTTGAGGTGAAGTACCACGTGTGGCCGCTAGGTGTTGACTCCAATGCCGCTCGAGGCTGACTTCACTGAAGTCTCCGGATTTTTCCTGGAATTACAAAGACACCTGAGCACAATTTACATGCCATTACAAGCCACTATGGTGCACCAGGAATTTTCTCCTCTTCTTGTACCGCCATAAACAACAGTTCCGAGCTGACGTTATCTGTTTCCTTGTTTGTTTGTTTTATGTCTACAGTACCTCTCATTCTGTCATATCAACATTACTGTGCAAAAGTCAGGAGTCATTCTTTATATTTTGGTTACAGTGAGCAAAAATATAAAGAATGGAGCCAGAATTCATGTCATTTTTTAAAAGTAGTTTTGAGCAATAGTTCTCCAGGCTTTCTGAAAGTCTTTTTAAAAAAATTCTTTGGACATTGGATGCTTTTTGAGTCCAGTCCTTGCACCATATCATTTTCACAGGTACAGTATGCTTTTTGTTTGTTAAGCCACTTAACACTGACCTATGACCCTTCCATGCATAAAAAGACACCTAACTCAAGGGATCAACCAGTGTTTTGTTTGACAGCTTAGGAAAGAAACTATTTTAAATTCTATCTTTAGTCTCTTTGTTAATAGCAGCCTGTCACAAAACATATAATTTGTGCTGATTTACTCAGCTGAATCTATTGAAAATGTCAAGATAACACAGTTTGACAGGCACAAAATAGTATTTTTGCATTAACAAGGTGGTCTCAGTGAAAGGGTGGCTGTCAAGAAACCATTCTTATGGAAGGGAAAGAGAGAGAAAAAGGCTAAGGTATGCCAAATCATACAAGAACTGGACTGGGTAGGACTTATGGAGTACTGAATTTCAATGTGAAATTTTTGGTTCAAATCATCGTTGTCAGAATGTACAGAGGAGGTCAGGGGAGAGAGGTGCAACAGTGTCTACACCCATCTGTAAAACACAGAAAAACTTGGTGCGTTTCAGGCCGGGATGTTGTAATCTTGTCAAAACTGATGAATTATGAAAGCAAAAAAGTGCAGTCAGACTTTGATCCACCCTGCAAAACCATCTGGAAAGCATCTGATTGGCAACAGCTTCAATTTTCAGCATGTCAATGATGAAAAATGCAAATTTGATAGAATTGTGCAAAGTCTGCTTTTTGCCTTATATGCTGTATTTCCATGAATATTTGCACACAGTTCAATAAATCACTGCACTTGTTTTCTTTTGCACCACACTATTCTGGAATTTTCATTTTATTTTGAAGGCATCTAATTTTATGCTAAACCAAAGCAGAGATTGAAAGTTAAGTTAATTGCTAACCTGGTTTTCTGTGCCAAAAACACATGAATGCACTGCTGAAACAACATACCTTCACACAGCAGCAGTTTGTCAGATTCTGACACTCTATTCCACTCTTCAAACTCGCACAACGGAGCGGAGAAGAATTTACTAAATTCCTATGAGGAGGGTGTGGCAAGACCAACAAAAGGAACATGAGGCGCTATACAAAAGAATAAGAATGTCTGAGCAGTTATCAAAACAAAGAGCCACTTCTTTTGATGTTGTGATTTACTGCTTTTAAAGCTGCTTCACTGTGTATAGTTTATCACTGACCCCCACATAATGTAAAAAAGCTTTAGCATTTAAGGTTAGCCCAAGCACTGAGATTGCTGTAAAAATAGAGATGTCTTATTGTAAAAATATTGACAAACAAAACTGTCGTTGGTGGTCACAGAGAAGATTACTATCAAAAAGTATTTCATTACTAGTATAGTACAAAATTTGAGCCACCCTTCATTTCTTTTATATTTTGCTAGAAAAATTGGAAACAAGTGCAGCGATTTAGTATAAACATTAAACGTGGAAACACCGTACATAAGGCAAAAACTGAGGTTATAAAATTCTAATGACTTTGAAAGTCAGCATTTGGAATGGCCATCTTTTCCTTCAACATAACCTGGAAAGCCAAGCTTCCCTGTATCTTAATCCATGTTAAAAAAAAAAAATCCCAGTGAGGAAATCCAAGTAAGTTGATTCTGTAACTGTAACTAGAAATGTCACATTTAGATTCGTCACTCCATGAAACCTGTTGCCACTGATTTTCATTCCAGTTCTTGTGTAATTTTGGCTCTCTATTTCTCTTCCTTAACAATGCCTATTTGACAGCCACCCTTCCACTGAGATCACATTATTGGTGCAAAAATACTATTTCATGCCTATCAAACTGTGTTAGCGTTGGCATTTTTCAGCAATTCAGCTAAAGAAATAGGGAGAAATTATATGTTTTGTGACAGGCTGGTAGTAGACAAGTTCCTAAAGATAGAATTTAAGATAGTTTCTTTCCCAAGTTGTCTTTTAGGTGGAGCAACAACACTGGCTCATCCCTTGTGTCGGGTGTCTTTTTTATGCATAAATAGGTCATAGGTCAGTGTTAAGTGGTTTAGCAAACAAAAGCACTCCTTTGAAAATGATACGGTACAAGGACTGGACTGAAAATGAGTGAAAAATCAGCCAATGGTTAAAGAGAAACTTTGAAAGACCTTCTGAAAGCGTGGAGAACTATTGCTCAAGGCCTCCTTTTAAAAAATGACAAGAAAGTCTGGCTTCTTAGAAGCAAAATATAAAGAAATGGGGGTTGAACAATACACATTAATTACACACATTAATTACACACATTAATTACACAATGATAGGGAACAAATTAAAGAAGACAAATAATTTCATTGATAATCACACAAATTGTCATTTTTTTAATACATAATATGAAAGAACAATATTCGTTTTCTTGTACAGTACACACACTGCAACATAATGCAAGAAGACACACCACACTCATCAATCATTTGACATTTACTTGAAATTACTCCTTTAGAGATGTCAAAAACTGCAATGAAAAAGCTTTTTAAAATTATGCTTAAAGGGTAAAAAGCACCTTTAGAATGAGAAACATTGATGAAGCACTGCTTTAGAAAGACAGCACAACTTAGCATAGCAGCTAAGTATATGTTAGGCAGACTTTGCCTTTAATAGTGACGGACGTATAAAACAATAAAAACAATCAAACACAGAAAAGCTGACACAGTCGCTTAAATGAGCTGCACCTCCAGCTTAAGGCACAAACAGGTGTGTGCAATAGAGAATGTTCATGTAGAGCAGGAATAGAGAGAGGAGCCCTAAATACTGGAAGTCATGATAGTGATTGCTGGTTGTAGTGCAGGTAATGATTAAGTTTAACTCCAATCACAGACAGTGTTTGGTGGATAAGCTGAAACATATGGATTCTTCTCTCTCTGTAGTCACTTCAGTGTAACTACCATAGAGCCCTGTGTTAGAGAGATATTGCTTAAAGGTAGCATGACACCATGACAGTCCCATTATAATGGCAAAATTAAACCGTTTCCCAATTTATATTGTTTCCTCCGTGTGATTAGAAACTTTCTAATTCATAATTAATCTTATATTTTGTGATGACTTGTTACAGGCTGATTAAATATGTCAGCATCAGATATCCCACACATTAACGTCTTGGTCCTGTCTGGTTAAGTTAACTTTGATTCCTGGTATAGTTCTAACACATTTCTGTGTACTGAGTACTCATAAGAATAGATATAAACACCCAACAATAATTTAAAACCTGAATGCAACACGAATGTTCAAACACAGAGTAAAGAAATGCAATTGTTATGTAAAAACAATATTTACTTTATAGCTATATTTGGATTTCTCGTCCCAGAATCAAATAAGATTGAGGAAAAGATTCACCAGCAAAGCCGGAAGTGAATATTATGCTCTGTCACAGTGAGCTGTCTTTTAAACATGCGGACTGCAGAGCTGCTGAACATAAACGACTTAATGATTACATCACTCCCACTGAGGAAAACGCAGGGAAGTCCTGCATTCACACTGTGTAGTCTAGATCAGCATTCATCTTATTGTACATGTCGTATATAGCATCAACAGTTGCAGAGAAGTTGATGAGAAATTTTCTGATTTTTTCCAAGCAGTCCTCTTCCTTGACATCCCGACCCTTGGAGAGGGCTCTCAGGAAATCGGACTTATACGGAGCAGCAAAAAGAGCCGCCTATAAGAACAAGCACAGATTTTACTCACAAGCCTACGCGTCTAATGAGCTTATGACACATTTATTGTATAAAGAAAATTTTTGTAGCTACTTTGAATGCACCTTGAACAGTTGTTGCACAAACCAGCCGTGATATCTTTTAAGTGCTATTTCATAGGCTTTGGTGACATTGACTCGGATAAGGTTTGGATTGTTCTCGTCCTTTTCACCGTCCACCAGGCTCTGAAGGAAAACTTGGATGAATTTTAGACCCCTTTTGGACAAGAAGACATGCACAGTGATTATGGACGAGGACTTTTCTCAGCTTGACGAAGCAAGTGCAGCACAACAGTCTAAAACAGGGATGTCAAACTCATTTTACATCGACGGCCACATTAAGTGGCATTGACAGAAGAGTGAAACTCCACTTTCTGTCAATGTAAGGACTTTTAACTACACAGTCAGTCCCTAAGATATATTAATAAAAGATGAAGAAGTGTTGTTTCAATAGAAAATCTCAGTTTTTATAATGATAAATGTGTAAAATTACAGAAAAAGTTCTGCTAGCACTCTGGGCTCAGAGTGCTAGCAGAACTTTTGCCGTGGTATGAATGGCTGTTGGGGATTCTTTATCAACAGGAAAAGATGTCAAATTGATAGTTGAAAGTATTTTTAAAACAACATTTTAAAATATAGTTAAAAGTTTAAAATATATGCCCTCCTTCATGTTTTAGAAAATCATCCACCGGGCCTACTTGGAGTCTTTGCTGGGCTGATTCTGGCCCCTGGGCCTTATGTTTGACACCCCTGGTCTAAAATGTAGAGTTTCTCACACCTTTTTAGCCACATAAGTGCCAAAGTTGCTCCAACTTTGGGCCATTCTCCTCCATGCATGTCCTTCTCTGCCTCCAAAATCTGCTGGAGAGTCTTGAACCGTCCGGGGTTGCTATCATAAACAGACTTGATTTTCTGTTAAATAAAACAGTTATTGTATCATTGTATCATCCATTAGCAATGTAGAAGTCAAGGGCCATACTTACTGTGATGTTACCCGATATGTCAGCCTTGATCGGTGCGAAAATAGTAGAGCCGAGGCAGTCTGAGGAGGAATATTTACACAGGCTGTGACTCGCAATTAAAGAAGTCAAAACTTATTTCCCCACACATGTGAACGAAAACTACGGAGCTCATATGAGATGATGAACATTCTCTTTGGAGGTAATCAACATCTCCTACTAATTAACACAAAAGCTAAATTTGAATCTGTATTAAACTTGACTTAAACTCCGGTTTGAATGCACAGGATCATCTGTGGGGACTTATGAACAATCTCACAACCCCTTTAGAAGTTAGATTTTTTTAATTATAGCTGTCCTTCATGATTACAATGGAATCCCAAGAGCTTAATCTCATGTTTGCTATTTGACCTGTCCGTACTTGTAGACTGTTGAACAGTAATGTCTTTAAAAATCTAAGTGGTTTACACATTTGTCCCCGATTTGTTTCTGAAAGCAGACACAAATCCCTTTGGAGTTGCATCAGGCATCTGGTTTTTAAAAGAACTGAAAACGACCAAATCAAATAAATAGAGCTGTGTGCTGTGGCGACCCCTCGTGAATAATGATATAGCTTTAGTAAAATGATGGAAAAAGCATGTGCAAAGTGCCAGTGGTTTTTCTGCACCCTCTGGTTAAAAGTTTTAAGCCTGTGTAACCTCTGACCGCACCCTGCATCAGTGCTGCACGGCAGGTATGTTGTAGGGTGACAGGTGAGCATTGAATCTACAACTATGATTATAAATAAATAAAGTGCAGGATTGTTTAGTGAACATTCATTAAGAAAGTGTTTTTCCTTTGTTTTCCCACCAGTGACAGGTCAAAATGTCTGCGGTGACAAAAATCTGCTGTTGGACAGCGAGTATCAGACACATCACAGTGTTATCATTTGGTATCTGTTAATTAGGCAATGCTGAGTGAATAGTAATAATGAACAACAAGACATCTCGAGTGCGGACCTCACATGGCTCATGGCTGACCTGCTAACACAACAGACAGCCTTTAGCTCTTGAGCTGTTACTGGAAACTACCCATGACTAAGCCTTTTCTATTGTGCAATGCAGTGTAATGCATCGCCACAACACTAATGGCATCATTTAATGTTTCAGATCCCTTTAATTTCCATACACTCCACGGGGAAAAGGTTTTTGTACTAAATATTGGACTTCTGAAACTAATTATTTATTATTTATTACTAATAACAAGCATAAAGTAAAACTTACTAATTGAAATGACTCAGAATGATTTGAGGCAAAGCCATGATGACATTTTACTACTAACTTTTACTACTACAGGTTAAATAACAAGTCTCTATTTAGATATAAATAAAAATAAAATACACTGGTGTGTTGAAACAAGACTAACAGGAGAGTGAACGTGCCAGTGGAGTGAAGTCTATTAGGACACTAATTAGGGAAGAGAGTTTCAGACACCTGTGTGAATGTACTATGAGTGTGCGGGATGGTAATGGCCTGTAGGAAAGTTGGCTCAAAAATTTCTGGGTCAGGAAGAATAATGGTGACAAGGAGGAAAGAGCCTAATATCGACATCAGACTTGGTTCATCTCAAGGGTGTCACGTGGCAAATTCAATGGAGGGACTTTGGCATATTAATAGAGAATGAAGCCGCACAAAGATGCCCTGGCGCACTGCGGCACCGGTGAATGGGCATGGGGAACTCAACACCGTACTAATCAATTTTCACAACTTAAAATCCAGGCCAGTGGAGTAAATTATGCATGCTAAAGGATTGTGGACAGGTTGGTGGAGAGAAACACGATCCAGAAAAGATTATCATTAGGAAGAGCAACATCGTTTTGTTAAACGAGATGGAAGTGTTGTGACAGATTTATCCTCACCACAAGTTCAGTGTTTAATAATCAGACAAATTCCAAATGAAGATTCACAGCAGTGGAAAAAAACACGTCCATTGCATGGGTGGTAATTTTAACGTAAACTGCACATTTTGTGCCTAGTGGACCAGTTTAACAGTCCTGGAAGTATAAAGCACGATCGGTCCGTAGCATTAATCTGGAAGCCTTTGAGAGGTTAATCATAAACCACCACAACTATACATTTTCCCTGCTGTCATCTATTTTTAAAATTCACAACTTCATTTGCAGTCCCATTAATGTAGTCTCCCCTGTGTCACACTGTGGAAACTTCACTTACCAAAGAATGGTGGAAGGTATGACACAGCTTCCAGAAACGGTCTTGTTTCCACTTGTCTGTCAGCTGGCAGCTGTCTGAATTGGTGCTCCATTAGCAGAGCCATCTCTTTAGTCCGGATACACTCCTAACTGTTGAAATGATAGCAACAGGCTGTCAGTCCTCCACTGCAGCTTCACAGTGATAGGAGGAGGAGAACACACACACACACGGAGGAGAGAGAGGAACAGAGAGAGAGAGAGAGAGAGAAAGAGAGAGAGAGAGAGGAACTGAGAAATCTTCTTCTTCACACACAAGACACACCACAACACACACACACACACCACACACACACACACACACACACACACAGATCTATTCACACACACACTAACACAGATAAATCTCTCTCACACACACACATAGAGAAACCTCTCTCTTTCTCGCCCTTACACACACACACACAAACACATCTCTCTTTCTCTCTCTTACACACACATGGAAGTCACCTACACTGAACTCCTGGCTGCAGAGGAGCTCATGTGATCGACATGTTAGTGATAGGTCCGGGCCATCGCCACCTGCCGGGGTAAGAGGGCGGATAAACGGTACCAGACAGAAGAAACAAGTCCAGAGTAAACAGCACCTGATGTGCTCCATCAGCTGACACTGGTCTTCCTCTGCGTTTAATCGCATGTGCTGCTTTGCTGCCAACTAATGGAGTCTGGTGGAATATCGCTCTTTGGTTCCACTTAATTTATCTGTTTATCTGTTAGTTAGTTATAGTTATCCCGGGATTCGTGCAAGCATATAACAACTATGTAATATCTTACTGTAAGAGACAGACAAAATAGTATCACACATGAACTCCGCAGTTTGGTATTTTACGTAGATTATTTTATTTTAGTCCTTTTTAGTTTTAACATTTTGTGTTAAATGTAGTTTAGTTTGCAGAGTAGGTTTGCTAGTTCTTATTGTTAATTATTAGTTTCATGTAAGTTCTAATTAATATTAATATTATTAATATCAGTGGTAGTAATAGTATTAGTGGTAGTATCAGATAGATGTGTCGAATCATATCTAATGAAAATTTAAAGGAAAGTTACAAAATTTCAACACACTGACCGAAGAGATAATCACATAAAATCATGACTTATCGACGACGACAAAGACAAAGAAAATTCAGTGGCGGAAACAAACTTCCAATTATGCGTTTCGCGTTTTCCGCCGCTAACTAAATTTGACCTTCACTTCATCCCGTAGCGTATGAGTAACTAGGAAGTGTATGTATCGGTAACTAAGGAAAGCTGTAGTGAGTAAATTTGAGCTTTCCTTGTTTGAAAGCAAAACGTCGATTTTTTTTATTAAAAGCCAAGGGGAGGCAATCCAAGGTAGCACCGAGAGGTAAAGTGGCTGCTATCGGTGTAGCTAAACGCTCCTTATATCCGAGTGCAGACGGGTAGTTGGAGCTGGTAGTCTTTTGTTCTTATTGTTTTCTTTATGGCCATGAAATTATAATTTTTTCATGGGCAGATCACCTATAACAGTGGAGATATTGAGCTGTCTTCGGCGTCAGTATTTGTTAAGTAACTAGTTACTTTAAAAAAGCAGCATTAGTGAATATATGATGGGGCCAAGAGACCTTTGACTTGTGATGTCTGCATTCGTGCATACTGACTGGCTACATGCCCTAATGAAACTATGTCTCCACTGTTATTTTTAGCAAATTTAATATCAAGCTTTCATTTGTGCTAACTGTTCAGGTTCATGGCTCTGCCGACACTTTCGACCCGTGTGCCCAGTCGATCTCGGGTCTTGGCCGACCAGCTGGCCCGGCAGCGGGAGCAGGAGGCCCGGTGGCGGCAGCAGTGGGAGCTGCATGCTCAGTACTTCAGAGAGCAGAGCATCCGCAGCCAGAAACAGACGGTGTGGAGCTCCCGTCAATCCTACCAGCAGAGGTAACTTCCTCCAGCATAGATGCTCTCACTCACACGGTCTCCGAAACGTTACACAAATATTGAAGCAATCCAACTAAATAACTACACATTGCTTTATATTTGGTGATTTTATTTTTGTTGCCTCCTTTCATTTTCTTGTCATTAATTTTACATGATTTCCATAACGTACTCCAGCATTATCATCCTGTTTCTCCTTTATTGCCCTCGGAGATGGCTCTGTAAGTAATCACGCCATGTCATATATAAGTTTTGTGTTATAAAAAAAGTGATAGTACTTGACACTACTCCCTACCTATGGCAAAACTAGGCTAACCTTTATGTTGAAGTCTCGATTTTACAACAGCCAGATTGGTCTCATCTCAGGCTGGGAGCAGACTGACGGCCAGACCCCGGCACTTTAAAAGTGATCAGAAAAATCTTAAAATCTAAAACCTACAGTAATCCAGTGTGGTGAAGCCAGGATAATCCTGGAAATACCATAAATACTGAAATTACAATAAATAAATGTTTTCATGAATTTCTTTGGACTATTAGAATATGCTGGTATGCTAAGAGAAGTAGTGTTCAGTTGTTTGTTGTATTGTGAGTATACCATAGTGTATCTTCCTTTAAATCTGTGTAATAACATATATATATATGTATGTATGTCATATTTGTTTGTCTGTATAAATTAGTTTAAAAATAGATAAATAGCCTTATGTTATTATATTTACTGTGTTGCTCTTTGTCATCAGTTGACAAAAATGCTAGTATTTATTTAATTTTTTTACCCAAGCATTTTTCTTCTTTTTGTTTTCAGTATGTCAGCATACCATAAAGACAGACTGAAGGAAGAAAAGAAAGCCAGCTTGGAGCAGCGCAGGAATCGACTCAGGGTAATGCTGCAAGAGGAGCAAAACCAACTTGAGGCAGAGCTCCGAGAGATGGTGCCCGACAGGAGCACGTTGGCAAGTCAGTTGGTGCAAAAAAGTGAAGAGCTTCGCACGGCAAGAGAAGACAGAAGAAAGAAAGTTGGTGGAATATTGCCCCATAAATATTCACCACAGTGTTGTGCCATGTAAGTTTGCAATCCCCGTTCATTTTTTTTTGTCATGCCTAGCTTGCACAGGAGCTGCTGAGGGAGCACTGGAAGAGAAACAACCAAGAACTGAGAAAGGTAGGCAAGTTTAAACTATTGATGCAAATGTGACAAGTTGCCGAGCCCCATACCTCAGACCTCGAGGTGTTACCACTGATGAAGTGTTTGACGGCTTCAGGAATCTAGTGACCACCCCATACGTCTAGAGAGTTCACCAAGTAGAGGAAACAGACACTTTTTGTCAAGACATCCATTTGATCTGGAAACCTATATGGCCTGTGATGCAGATATTCCATGACTTTCTGTTAACCTGATTCCAGTGTTGACTTAAGAAAAAGAAATGTTCTGGTATCCCTTCCACCCAGGGTCAAGGTCATCAGTATCTCTGTCTCAGCTTTGTCACAACTCACTCTTTCAATCTGTCTGCAGCTGGAGTCAGGATTACATAAAGATCACGTTGTCAGCCAATGGCAGGAGCAGATATCTGAGAAGAAACAGGTAGGTGGATCATTCCAGGCACCAGACAAAGTCAGTTCTGTTCTCTTCAGTGTTTTAATAACTTTGATAGCCAGTATTGAAGAAGTTGCTTCAGTACTTCATAGTATAGCCCTTCTCAGGCCGGTGTTGACACATATGACCCACAAGTCATTATCTTTTTATGTGGCCAAGTTTTGATGTAACACATCTATTTTTAATTGAACAGTGCTCGTGTACTCTGTGAGCACAGTATCACGGCCGCAACCTACTCTGGTCAGCCCCTCAAAGGTGGTGCATAATTAAGAAAGCTTTGACACTTACTGTAAGTGACCCAGCTTGTCAAACATGCAGAAAGAAGTGGCGTACCAGGAGGAGACGAGACGCTTTGAAAACGAGTACGAGAGGACCAGAAGAGAAGCTCTGGAGAGGATCAAACAAGCGGAGGAGAAAAGGAAAGACGAGGAGCGTAGGAGAGGGGAGGAGCTACGCAAGCAGATGGAAGAACTGAAGCTGAGAGAAGAAGAGGTATTCAGAGCATCAGCAAACAATTTCTTCTGTGCAAAACCACCTTTGCAGACTTTTTTTTTTGTAAACAAGATTATTTTTTCTTTTTCTCTTACAGGCCACTCGTCTGAAAAAGGAGCAAGAGGCTCTACTGTTGCAGCAGTGGGAGCTGGAGAAGATAGAGGAGGACAGGAGGAAGGCGGAGGAGCAGAGGAAGAAGTTTGAGATCGGGTATGTGAAGCTTATTCTCCAGATGACCAAACAAAAAGAGTGGTATGATACTTCTATCTACCGAGGTACTTTACATATGGGATTCATGTTGCACTAGGCGTTTCTTGATCCGTCAGTATCGAGCTCAGCTGACAAGAAGAGCCCAGCAAGTGCAGGAAGAACTGGTAAATAATTTTTTTTACCTGCAGATTTTACTGTGTGATCATCCAGATAACTTCCCCAGACCTTTTCTTTGAAATCCTTTTTACAACACCAGGAGGCCGACCGTAAGATCCTGGCAGCCTTGCTTGAAGGAGAGGAGGAGGACAGGAGGCTGGAGACTGCAAGAAGGGAAAGAGCTGTCGCTGATGCAGCCTGGATGAAACGCGTGATTGAAGAGCAGCTGCAACTGGAGCGTGAGAGGGAAGCTGAGTTTGAAGTCTTACACAGGTGAGTGCCAAGATTTAGTAAGCCTCAACTCTCCAGAAAGGTGCACATGCGGCTCTGTGAATACAAATCAATGCATCCCATTTGTTCGTAGGGAAGAAGCTCAGCATGTTTGGGAGAAACGAGAAGTTCAGTGGGAGAAAGAGAGGAAAGCCAGAGAACGGCTCATGCATGAGGTAAATTTCTCTTGGAGTAAAACTTGCAGTAAAGCTTAAAGATGTGAGTTCAAATAAAAGTTGTCCTGTTTTGGGTTTTTCCTGTCTTTTTTGATAAGGTGCTTGTGGAGAGACAGCAGCAGATAGAGCTGAAAATACAGAAGAACCGTGAGGCTCAGGAGGAATCTCTAAAGAGACGAGAAGAGCTTATCAAGGAGCTTGAGTGGGAGAGGAAATTCAGACGTCGGGAAAAGGAGCAAGAAGAGGGCCGAAGGACAGCGCGGATGCAAGAGATAAATGCTCAGGTTGGATACATTTTATTTTGTTTTTTATGGGAGGGGGTTCCCAGGTTTATTTCCCCAACTACGCATTAACCTCCTAGGACCTGGCGTCCACATATGTGGACATCACATTTTGGGTTATTAAGACCAAAATACTCAATTTTGCTCTATAAGGGCCTGATATCTACTTACAAGGACATTATACTGCTACTGTTCGATCGAAATTTTATACGAATATCCTCATTTGTGGCTCTCATTTTTCTTAGAAACAAAAAAAGGTAAAAAATATATATATATATATCTGGTAAATCTTTGTTTTTACATTCATCAGGTCCCAATCAGCCCAAATATCAAAGAGAAATTAAAATTGCATGCCATGAAAGAGTTTGGTCTTAGGAGGTTAAATAAGAAATCATATGTGAAGTTGTTTGTGTTCATGTTATGTAGGTGGAGCAGCAACAAGAGGCGCAGTGGGAGGAGCGGTGTAGGAAAGAACAGGAGGAAGAGGAAGAACGGGAAGCCCTTCGAATCCAAGAAGAGGAGCTGAGGCTTGAGATGCAAAGGATCGCCAAGAAAGGATACCAGGACAAGGTGAAAGAAGAGTGAAGCAGCAGTATTCATGATTCCAAGCTTAAAATTGCTCTTTAATATTAAAATATGCTTGAAACCGTCTCTTTCAGATTCACAGCAGGCCACGATCAGCCTGGACATGAGAGACCTGCCAGACTGAAGTGAAGCCGAACATGAGCTGTTGTATTTTTTTCTGTTAGGAATTAGCCTTAAGGGATATTTCATGCTTTTTAAAACAGCCCTATGAAGACTTAAAGGCCATTTGTCACAGTATTTACGCTGTTGGTCAACACTGAGCATGAAGCATTATGTGTTGTCAAATGATTTCAAAGTGACAGATGCACAAAGAAACTCTCCGTCCAAATTCAGGACAAAAACGTCCAATGTTAAAGTTAAAATAAAAGCTCTCACCCATTGCAGTCTTTGAACACATCCTGTGGAAGCAGGCCTGCAGTGGAATTTGACTTTTGTTGTACATTAGTGTTTTTTAACAGCCAAAAGAAAACTTTGTCCTTTGAAAGGATAAAACGTAAAAAAAAAAGAAAGAAAAGAAAAGCAGGCCACATGTGCCTCCTGTCATGCCATATTGATTTAAATTCAATTTCTATTTGTTGGACTCGAATCGATTCGTCTCTGCTCTTAGAGCTCTTGAATGTCTATAAATTTTCTATTCTGTGTGTATTAAAGCTGTTGCAATCAAATCATTTGAGCATTTTGTATTTACAAACCACAACCAGTTATAGTTATAAATTAAGTTTATTTAGAAAATAATTATTTCCCCAAAATGCACCTTCTGCTGCATCACGCATCCCGGCACTCCATGCAAGCACAGAGATGGACGTTACTTAGAACAGATTTCAGAAGGAAAATGAAATCTGCAACACCTGGCGATGATGAACATTGGCTAGCACAGTATTACAGGATCCCATATGTTGCACATTACACACAAAACTAGCAGCAACAGAACGGAGCACAATACACATGGACATACATACAGTATGGTTACTAGCACTAAATATTAACACCAAGAGTGGCTGTAGTGTACAGTGCAATGGGTAGCCTATTAGAAACACACCAAATAATCCTAACTTGATGCAACAACATCTCGGTGCTAGTGAAGATGATAACTTGGCCCCTGAACAAGTGTTTCTTGCATTTATTGACTTGACAAATGGGCACACATAAATAGCTGCAGTAAGTGCACTGCAGACTGGATTACACTTGGGCAGGGAGCAGGTCATATTAATAACTTTTTTTTTCCCTCAGTGTAACAAACATTATCAGCATTGCGCTGAAACTGAAGTGTGCGTAAAGTCTTCAACTTATGGAAGCTAACAAAACCGTACGCTCGTATTTTTTTCCTTTTTTCATATTAAAACTTTACAGTGTAGTGATGCTTAAACAGTGCAATATATTAGAGGAAGCTCCTTTTGCTACAAGAGTGTTTGTAATAGCATCCAATGATAACGATTTCATGGCTCATTTATGGTTTTTCAGCATCCATGCATGGCTTTGGTTTGATAACACTGACGAGTATCATATCGATTTACTGTGCTCTTTGTCCTAATGCAAGGCATTAACTCTTTAATGATATTTTGTAATTCTAATTATCAAAGACAGAACAAGCTATTTCCCCAGCATGTTAGCTGGAAAGTCATATCCCCCCCCCCCATCAGAAAATGTGCTTCTACAAAAGCTGGCTAAGTTTCTGACTTTTCCCTTGACGCTAAGACTTTGTCTTTAAATATTGTCAATGCTTATTCATAAATAATTAAAAAACAAGGCATGCATATACCACATATACAAAAACAATAAAATAACTATAAATGCGTATAAAAACAAAACTGAGATGCTGACTTCTTTGCAGCCCTGTAAGTGCTGTTAGTTGGTATTTTCCTTTGTGGTGATGGTGACAAGCTGCTTGGCGGCCTTGGCAATGTCATAAGCACATTGGATGACCTGCTGGGTGACCAGCTGCATGTCCGGTCCTGGGCAGCCCTCCGAAGGCACCGCCTTCCGGCACTCGCCCTGGAGCCTGCACGCACTGGAGGTCAACAAGCGCAGAGAGCCTCTCACCGTCTCTGAACGCGGCTTCTGCAGAGGAAGATTAAATGATCTTAATAAACATAGAAAAAGTCTGCTCACAGGCCTCTTCAGAAAGGGGGTGCAGTGTGCATCCAGGTGTCAAATAACAAACAATAAGCAGATCCATTCTTTGCAAGAAAAAATCTATTTACCTTAGGAAATAGGGCAGCCATTTCTGTTACAGCCACATGTATTCTTTCTGAGCAGGGTATGAAGCTGTGAGATGAAAAGATTGAAGTCACAGTCAGAAAGTAAACTGAAAGTAACAAATACGATGGTTATAAAAGTGATACGAATGATCAATTAGCTAATCACCACTGCAATCAGGTTACTTTACAAAGTGGAGGTGCAATTTAGTTTTCAGAACACACCATGCACCATCATCATCGCCAGATTACCTACAAAACATGCCATTTAAAAGACATTTTAAACCTTGTAAGTAAACAGCACTTTAATTCTACAGTAAAAAACGTCAAGATCAAAAACAAATATGCTGTCAGCTATACGTCACTGCACAGATGCACCTTACCTTTTTTACCTAACTAAAGCAAAGTCAGTGCTTGAAGATAAAACATGAAATGAATTGATGTTTGAAACTAGGCACACTCAAGCATGCAGCACAATATGACAGAAAAAGAGACAGCTTGTTAGCAGGTGAGGCAGACCAGAAGAAGAAAGTGTCTGAGGGAGAGGAAAATAAAACTGTGCCTGGGAGGCAGGGACAGAAGCCAGAGTACCAGGAGGTGGGGTCGGGGGACCGGAGGCTGAGCGGCTGAAGGGGAGAGGGGGCCTTCTCAGCCCAGGGTACCAGAGTGCTGAAACATCCCAGGCTGTGCCTGAGCCGACGCACACCTTCACGCTCACATGGTCTGATGGCAGGAGTGATTGGTGGCGACACCAAAACAACATGATAACAACGGAGCAGAGAGGAAGTAGAGTGAGGAGGAAGAGTGACAAGAGCAGGACAAAAAAAAGGGGGAAATGACAGGGCTTACATGGAACTAATTATAACAGAGTAGCTATGAATGTAGGAGGAACTTGAGGTTTAAAATGAGAGCAAGGAAACGAAAGTTTAAAAAAAAACACACACATATATATATATATATATATATAAATCAGTTGCAGAACTCATAAAAAAACCCCAAAACCTTTCATCTCATTCTGACCTGTCATGTTTGTTCTCCTGAGCAGCTCGCAGCAACTCCTGGATATTCTTGGTGATCTGTTCGGTCTTGCGGATGACGTCCTCTGTGCTGGGAAGCGTGGGGTCAGAGTCCATCTCCAAATCATCAAGTTCAGGGATAGAGCTACCCTCCCCCAGCCAGCCACTGCTCCTCAGCCGCCCTCTCCTGCAGAACCTGCTAAGTGGGTGAAAAAAAACCCCAAACAACAAATCAAGCCCCCTGCAAAAACCTGTTTTTTTCCTATTGAACTGTACATGAAGACCACTTTGCCTCACTGACTTCTGGGTGATTTTCTTACCCCGAGTCATCCATCTCCGAGTCATTGAATGTGTTGTCATAGTCACTTTCTGGCATGCTGCTTTGCTTCTCCAATTTTGAAGCCTGGGAGGGAAGAAAGAACAATATGAGAGAGATCCAGTAGTACTCACGGCAAAACCCAGCAGCAACTGTGGTGAAAATACATTTTCTTCATCTAAAAAGCAAAAACATAAGACTCATCTGTGTGCTGTGCCAACATGAAACTGCACAGCCACATCAAAGTGGAGTATAAACAAGTAAAGGTGATGCAGAGGACTGAATCAAACAAGCCAGTAAAGCTGTAAAGCAAAAGCACATCTACAGTTTAAAGATTTCACATTAGTAGAGCAGATTATGCTGAGATCATATCATTTATTTGCATTAGTATGACACTTGTTACCTTTCCTAATACCTTATGAAACCTCTTGAAATGCCAAAGCAAGGCTGGATTTACATGTGACATTTGAAAACAGCCACACAGAAAGCAACAAACCCTAAAACGTTACTTTACAAGTGCGGCACAAGCTTTTCTCCTCCAAAATAAAGACAAGTAAACCCCAGAGGGCCCACACTTGCATATGTGAAGTCAGAGCTCAGTGGTGCATGCCACACAACATAGGCACGCTATCTTCATACCATATAGGGTTTGCTGTGATCTGATAGCGTGACTTAACTTTATGCAAATTCACACTCAACGCTACATCTAAAAAAAAAAAACAGGAAGTTCACTGTACTACACAACATGTTCATACTCTGACAGTCTGCGTTCAAGAGTCTGAGCAAAATCCTCTCTGTGCATGCAATACTAAATGCAGCACATTGTGGGATTATCTCATGCTTACATAAATTGTCCTCTTAGAAGATGATCAATCGCTTCACACTGCAAACCACTCACAGATTTCCACTGTTTGGTTGTCAGAGAAGTAAAAGCAAAGTAGCTAAGATTTTGTAAGAAACAGGGCAGAAGGAAACTTTGTCTTATTCTTAGAGTATTTCAAATGAAAAAAAAAGTCCAACTAAAACAATATATAATGTGCAATTTCTTTCCTTTGTCTTCACGTAGATTGCTAAAATACTTTAATATCGTCTCATATACCAGTTTCTAGAACACAAAAAAAGCAGCGCTGCATGACAAGCACAGATTTCTGCTCAATACTCAGCAGTGACGCAGAGGTTTTGCCTTTACAAAACCCCACGAATTCCATTTGTTTAGTAGGACAATGAGGATGATGCTGATGAAGGCAGGTATCTGGCGGTGAGGACAGCCGATGGAAGGATGGCTCATGCAGGGCAGATAAAGAGCAGGAGAACAGAGGATGAATGGGTAGAATTGGGCTCCGAGGAGATTTGCGGCGTCCCGCGAGACGCAGACCGAGTTAGGATGTACTTAACCTTTTGAGCACTGTCGTCCTTCGACCAACACAAGGTGGATGGAAATGAGGGAAGGGATGAAGAGGTGGTCACAAAAGCGCCCCTTTCCGTCTAAAGACAGGGTTCAAATCATAATGTAACACAGACACACACACACAGATTTCTTAAAATGAAAAGACCTGTTTATACGGACTTACAAAAAAGCTGAATGGATATTAAAAAAATACTGTGTATGGACTGGAGTCGATGCAAAGCTGTGCAAAGCCTGTGAGCACTGAATTCAAAATAATAAAAGTCTTTCTTAGCTTAGGATAAATCAATAGTACAAAGACAATGCAATGGAGCTTAATCCTCCTATTTTTATTCCCTGAGCTCCACTGTTTCCTTTCGGTGTACAGTGCTTTAAAAAAACATATCACTGAATAGCCTGGAAACGAGCTGATAAAGGGAAAAAAAATATCAGAAACTATAAGTCACAGGCTTGGATTAAAACCAAACAGAGCAGATGGAAAGTTAAAGTGAGTGTGTAAATGTATCGTGCATTACAAAAACACAGAGTATTTGTATGGCAGTTTAATACTTTATCAACATAAAAAACACAGTACAAACCAACACAAACCATGACAGCATGTTTCTGCGTGTACAACTAAGTCTTGTCTAGCAAAAAAATAAAAAAGGCAGCACTCCCATTAACAACAGATGTTTGCAGATGTGTGTGTTATTAAACTGGACACATATTGCGATTGCTCTGGCTCTATCTAACATTGCATCGCATTGTGGTTTTTAATGAGTCAGTCTTTGAAGAAGCCAAAAATTAAAAAAAAAAAAACCCAAAACAAAACAAAATAAAACGTGCGTAGTGGAAAATGAGTAAGGAGAGACACAAACACAGGCAGGGGAAAACGTCTGCAGACAGGATGAAGACATGAGGGACAGTCACTGAGTGGAAATGGCAAAGGAGAGCAGGGAACAGGTCTTACTTACATGAGTTGGGAAGGATTGAAGGGTGGGGATTCCCTCCTCTGAGTAAGGAGTTTCCCCTTTAGGGAGATAGGGCTTCAGGCCTGAGCCGGTCTCATACATAGACATGGGCCGACTGGCCCGTGCAGACTGCCGGCGTTTCAGGGCAGAGGGACTGGAGGGGTCAGGGTAGTCTGTACCGCTGGGGATCTGATAGATATTGGTAGTGACCTGCCGCCTGAGAGAGGTGTTCTCGCTTTGCAGAGATTGCAGCTGGAAGAGATGTCAGTAATACACTAAGAGGGGCGCTTAGCTTTAATGCCGCTGTTTCTCTAGATAGCACTATTTAAATTTTGATAGATTGTTGCCGCTCCTACTGCCAAGGTTATAATTTGGCAGAAACCACCAATCTTTCCAGATACAGAGTTTGAAACATGTTCTTTTCTGGCACGTCACCAATATACAAAACCTGAAGCTGTTTTCACAACTATGAATGAATTATAAAAAAAAAAAGTCCATAGCTATGAAGAGAATGCTCGCTCAAAGCTCTGATAGATTTTCATCACAACACCCCTCCTATAGAAAAGTGTCTTGCTGAGTACCCTTCACTAATCATTACTAACCATTGCCATTCATATTCAAACAGCTTTAGATTCTGTTTACTTGACGACAGTATCCAGTAGTTAAGTATCTATAGCGCAGGGAAATTCAAATTCAAGGTCTCGTCTGAAACAGCATCAAAGGAATAACATGAATTTTGGTTTGGGTGGATTCTTTTTGCCTATCAGTGCAAAGCTCAAGATAAGCAAGCAAAAGATCATTGTACAGGTAAGAAACACAGGTGCAGTTCAAGTCAAAGATTCAGCTGCAAGGAAAGGTTCGTGAACACTTTGGAATAATCATGATTGCTGCATGAAAAAACTAATAAACATGGTCTGATCTTCACCCAAGTTCCAATGATAGACCAACACAATCTGACGAAACCAATTAAAAAACAAAAAAAACAAAAAAAACACTCCCTCCCAGTATAAGCAGGAAAAAGTAAGTGAACCTCTATGACACAGATTTCTCCAGAAGTACTTTAAGTCACGTGATCCAAGTCAGTCTATGAACAATATCTAGGAGGAATATAGAGGTTTAGGAGGACTAGAGGTGGACAAAGCTGGAAAATACTACTAAAGCATGGATGAAAAAACAATTTGGCTTAAATTAAACAGAAAAAGTATGGTGAAGAGAGCATCATGGTTTGGGAATGCTTTGCTGCCTGAGGGTCTGCAGGCTGAGGTTCAATGACGTAACAAGGCAATGGAGACAGACTAATTGAAAAAGAGGACAAGGTTTTTCAGGTTTTTGAAAATGCTTCAACCTTTTCAGATGTTTGCTCTTCTTCTTGCACCTTGGGTGAAGTTGTCTCAGAAACCTTTACCCTGTTTCCCCACCTTTTTCAAAGATCAGGTGAGAATCTGACTTAACCCAGATAAGATGTTGTAGCACAGCCCAATGCAGGCTGTTCAAGATCTTCCAGAAATCCTGATGAACTTCCGAAGAAACTGTCCAAAATTCCTCAATGTTGTGCAAATCTCATAAGAAGCTACAGGAAACACCTGCTAGAAACTATGGTTGGTAAAGGAAGTTCAATAACATTAAAGAGTTCACTTATTCCCCCCCCCAAAACCTGAAGTAAGTGCTAACTCGGTGTCAACGAAAAATACAACAGTTTGTGTATTTTTGTTGCATTTGTGGAGAGTCATTGTGTTGGTCTATACCTGTGACTGAAATCATTATCGGACCACATTTTATAGCTTAACCAATGCAGAAATCCAAAGCTTTCCACGGTTCTTCTTCCAGGTTTACAGCACTAACAGACTGACTCAGGAATTATAAAGGGATTCAGGGATGCTCTAAACATCAAGATTTGATCAGGAATACACTGGCCTTAAATACTACAACTACTTTAAAACTGTGATGAAGATTAATAGCGATAAAGCTAAAGATTGTGCTTATGTGATCACGAACTGATATTTAAATATAAAAAGCTAACAAAATAAGAAACACTTGTACTTTTGAAACTACAAGGTACAACCACAGTAAGCCAAGAAAAGCCACAGTGCTGCACGTTTTATCTAAATGATGCTGTGTGCTACAGTTTACTGCAGGGGGAGAAACAACAGCAGACTGAGTGCAGCTACGTGAATGCTCTAGATGCTCTTCATCAGCTCTAAAAGTAAAACGACAACATTGTAACATCACTGTTACTTTACCCTGGGTAAACTTTATACCAGGTTTACTTTACCAAATAAGTAAATAGTAACTTAATAACTTCCAATTTGGTTTAGTTTTAGCAAGCTAAAACTGTATAAATCTCAAATGTCTCCCATTAAATCATCAGTTGAGTGTAACAGTATAAGGTGAGGTGTTCTGTGAAAAATAGCAGAACAAAAAATCCACATGTGCTAAAGTATGTTCCCCCAAACAGCTGGAAATCATCCAAAAACATTCATTGCAGTAAACACAGTATATATGACAAAGCAAGGCACACACATACAATTTCAGTTAGTCACTGTGTATTATCAAAGGGATTAAAAACAAAACAAAACAAAACAAAAACAAAAAAAAACACCATCATCAATTATATCATGCTTTTTCTTCAAACATGCTTGTTAGTAACATTAGACCGGCTTTAACTTTAATTTATAAATTAGGTGGGGAAAGTGACCTTGGTGTTAAACCAAAACACACACACACACAAAAAGGAAAAAAAACAAAACAGAAATCTCTGGTTTACATTCAGACTCTGAAAATTGAACATGCTGGCCATAACAGAGGGTGGACCAGCAGGGTGTCACAGCAGCCTTATCGTACCACAGAGCATTCCTATTCAGGTGGTTCGGCCGTGATTACTAAACACAGGCTG